ATGCCGAGGCGGTTGCTGGTTCCCGAGAGCAGAGTTCCAAGGGAGGATGTAAAACCTCGGGCTGGCTTTGTTTGATCGAGGTTATCTGCGACCTTCCTTACGACAGAGTGTGTAAAACAGGCATTAGGGTGTCTTTCTGGACTGAATACTCTAATCCAGAACAAAACAGTCCTTTTTTAGTCATCAGAGATGTTCTAGTCTTTATCGCTGGGGTGGAGTCGTTCTCAATCCCATCATTTAAGATTTTAAAGACGTTTTTGAGAATTCGGAAGAAATAATTTTCAGTCTCTGTGGCTAAATGTGTATCTTCCCTTTTCATGGTGCCTGGTGAGAGTAAGTGTTTCCTTTTCTTGTAAGGAAATGTAAGGTTTCACATGATAGTATTTCTGTGAGGGGGTTATTTAATTTATGGGATTGCATACTAAACATTACTTAGAAATTCAAAGGCTTGAGTATGAAGTGTAACAAGGTTTTTTTTAAAGCAACATAGAGGTCTAAGCTTCAAAAAATTCCTCAACAAGAGATTCTTTTAAAGTATGTGCTGTTTAGGAAAAATATATGAGGTTGCAGCTTTGATAACTAGGTATTGGTTTTCACTCTGTGTTACCTATCTTGTATGCTGGAAAGGAGATGCTGTGGAAAGGATACATGTTTATGTATAGTTGTATTAAAAATGCACAAATGCAGCTAATTCTAAATTTGGTATCAGTTGAGGATAATACTCCTTAAATTTAGGTTTGGGGGAGAAGATGATGTAGGTATAAAATGCCAATGCTAAATGTTTTTCTTGAGAAAATTAGTTTAAAATCAAGGGTGCATGTTGGGGGGGGAAGTGCATTTTACCATAAAGCAAGGCTTTTTCCATAGGTAGACAGAACTTGTTTAACGGGTGGATGTAAATATATCTTATAGGTATAGTTTAAATATTTCCAAGGTTGGTATCTGATAGGTTAAGTTTTCTGAAATGAACTTCAACAAAAACTTCTCATAAATGAAGCGGGGGTCTAACTTTGCAGGCCTTGGGCCTTTTCGGCAAACTGAAACCTGATGCTGTTTGAATGGGAAGACGTTCCGTGTTTCTTTAAACACAGAAAAACTGATGTAATACTAAAAAGTGAACTAAGCAAGAACTAATTTATTTTTGGCAGGTGCAGCTAAAAGCTGAAGCTGTAATGCACCCATGAATGAGTAGTGCTAGTCTTGTACATCAATGGCCTCTGTGCCAATAATTCCAGACTCTTACAACCATGTGTTGGCAGAGTTTGAATGTTTGGATCCATTGCTTTCTGCGCTCAGGCTGGATTCTAGTCGTCTGAAGGTGAGTCTGTGGTGTTTGGGGGTTTTTTGGGTGGGTTTTTTTTTGTCTTTTGTTTTGGTTTTTTTTTTTTTTAATTTAAATAATCACCTTATTTGGTTTATTTTCTGATTAACCCACAGGATTAATATCGTTCTTTTTGGGTGTGTGCATGCGAGCTTATAGGGGGGGAACACTTTGGGAAGAAGTGGTGAAGACAAAGGATCCTATTATTCTTTCTTAATGTAGCTGTGGAGTAAATAATACAGTCTTATGCGGTCGCTGTCTTCTACTGCTTGCTCCAGTCGCGGAGAGTGCTATTCTAATATCTTTGACGACTGTGCTGCCAGTGTTTCAGGGGTGGTACACACAGGTGGCAAACAACAAAGCCCTTAAAAAATGACATAATAGTGCAAGAAAAAGATGCTGTTATTAATGCTTACTAGCAGCCATGTGCGTTATGATTTGTATTCCTTCAGTGCACATGTATAGCTGTGTCGAAGAGATGGCTAGCTCTAGGCAGTTCAGGAGGAGGACTGAACCTTATACAGAAGGATGGTTGGAAGCAAAGGCTCTTTCTCACTCATAAGGTAAGGGTAAAGAATTCTATACAAAAATTTCCAGGGAAAATGGGACTGAGAAAGAGACGTTGTTTCAAGTTAATTTTTATTAAGAGTCAACAGGCATTTTCAGCTTACTGAATTGTCCAAATAAGGTGAAGTTTTGGACTGCTCCATTTAAAAAAGGTTGTGGTACTGGAGTGTATTCCCAGAGTGTGTGGTGTAATAGATTTCATGAGGTGTGAAAGAAATTACTTGAAAGGGTCAGACCTTCGTTTTTCAAATTCTTATTTGTAACAGCGCAACAAAGTCACCTGAATATTTAAGGATTAGAAGAAAACTTTGAAAATGAAACCAGAGCAACTCATATGTAGATAACTACCGATGTTTGGATGTCCAAACTATGAACTACTTGGTTAAGCAAAGAAAAGATAAGCTGGCTTGCTTTTGCTGAAAGAGGTCATGGAACAGGGATTGCTGTTTCCACAGCCAGATGCTCTTTCCTGGGAGCCACTGCTGCTCCCACCGTAACATGAATGCAGCCATTTTTTTAAGGTTGGGAGCATTTCGCTTAGTTCTGGCAAAACAACTTCTGTAGGTGCGAGGACAGGAGATTGATTTCTGTGTTTTCCAAATCAGAGAATGAACTGCAGTTGTTTCTCTTGATGCTGTCATGTTGTTGTCAGCTGCATCTTTTTAGAGTAAACTTAGTGTTTGCAAACAAAACCGAGACAAACAAACAAACCTGCACATCACAACAAAGTGGTAGCAGCTGTTGACATGAATTTGGTTTTTATCTTAGAGATAAAAGTTGCATAGTGGTAAAGGCAGTACAAGAACAAGTTTTACCTGCGCTTACTCCCATACTTGCTTTCAGGAAGGTGCCATTTCCCGGGTTGCCTGTTGTTTACATGATGAAGACTATGTTGCTGTCGCCACCAGGTGAGTGATATACTTACAAACATAAATTCTAGATCAATATTTTTAAGTAGCTTCTAAGTTTCAGACTAGGACATGTGCTGAGAACTTGGAAGGGGGCAGGGAATTAACTGGTAGAGGCCCCTACAGAATAATTCCCTGCACAGACAGTTTGCTTAACTTTTTTCCTGGAATAATTGTTCCAGAATAAGTATTATTTCTGTAACAGAACATCTATGGGAGAGCTAATGCCTGTGAAGTTATGATGATAAATATCTCTCTCAGACCTTTCAGCATCAAAAGAAATATCTTCATTAACTTGGCAGAGTGAGATTGGTAGTTAATACCACTTACATTGTTTAAAATCCATTTAAATGCTTAATTTTCTGCATCCTCAGTGGTAATTCCAGTAAATGTGAGGGTAGCCTTCCAAAGCTGCTGATAAGTCGTAGTGCAAGGAAAGACACTTACTCTTCTTCAGGATTAAGAATGTGATGCTTCTTGAAAGCATGCAACCTCAAACACAACCAGCTCTGAGATGTACTACTTCGCTTAGATTTTCTGTTTCTTTGGAATAATTTTGTCAATGATAAAACATTAGAAGACCACTTCTCAAATTGTATTTTCTTTTTTAATTGTTGTAGCCAAGGTCTTGTAGTAGTCTGGGAACTGAATCAGGAACGTCGTGGGAAGCCAGAACGGATTTATGTTTCCTCTGAGCATAAGGGCAGAAAAGTTACAGCTTTGTGTTGGGATACAGCTGCCCTTCGTGTTTTTGTAGGAGATCATGTGGGAAAAGTATCAGCCATCAAGATTAACACATCAAAACAAGGGAAGGTAAAATATCGCATACTTTGTTTGAGATTAAGAGGTTCCCAGGGGATGATGTGTGGAATCTTTTTGTTTATTTTAGTAAAGTAGGACAGAGGAAACTTGCCAGCTAATGAAGTTCTGGTAGTTTTGACTGTTGGGATGAAGACCCAGTCTCTTGAGACAACAGTAGAAATCCTAACCTGTGAACTTCCCCCACCCTCTCTTTTAGCTATTTTAGTAATGCAACGTAAAAATGCTTTCAAATGTACAGAATTAAAAACTGGCCGAGCTTCTTCCTCTTGGAATTTACAAGTATCCAAGCCCAGGGTCTTGGTGTTTCTGAGCCTGTTGGATTCCTTAGACTCCAGCTACAAGTTCAGCTGTGTGTTTTACTCCTCAGCTCATCTGTTGGTCTGAGAAAGGGCAATCCCAGGCTCTGATTTTGCTTGGCTCTGTCTGGATACTCTTATCCTTAAAGATGTGGATTAAAAAAAATGGTAGGTGGATGTCAAGCTTACATCCATTACATTTTGTGCAAAGGGCTCACAAATTAATGAAAACAGCCTGATTTCTATCCCTTGAGTGTTCTTTAAGTTTTACCCTTACTAGGTCCTTTCCTTTTAGTCTGTAAGAAGGAGCACATCCTGGAAATAGGTGTGTTCCTCCACGTCCTTTCTAGCTCTCATGAAAGATTTTGATGGAAAATTGCCTTAAAAGTAGCAAGACTATTGCATTTAAAGAAAGGGCAAAAAAATTCAACTGTGGAAAGAGAGGGAAAAGGAGAGCAGAGAAGGGCTAGGCCTATGGAATATGTGTCTGCTCATGCCTGTTAAAGGAATTGGACTGTTGAATCTCTCATGTAATGCACTTTGTTTGAAGTAGGGAATTGACACATTCCTAACACAGAAAACAGCTTTAAGCTGTCGAAAATGGTGATTGTCTGCTAGAAAATATGAGTGCAGTTCCCAGTAGTTTCTTATGAATAAGAAGTCTGTCTATGACTTTGTTCTGCCACCCACGCAAACTGAGAAACTTCTGTAATAAATAGTATTTGGGTAATTTGCTGCAGGGTGATAGAGAAAGTGATTTTATGTAAACCACCTAAATCTGATGGAAGTTTTTTTTTGTATCAAGTAATCCTTCAGGTCTGTCTCCATAAAACTGTTTGCTGGCTGAAAGTATCCATGGGAGAGAACTGACAAAAGCAGAAAGCTTACAAGAGCAAGAATAATATCCGCTCTTAATGTTACAAAAAGCACACTCTTTATAAAGAAATGGCAGGATGCTACAGGGATACGATTTTTTTTTTTTTAAACCTTCAATAATGGTTTTGGGAAAAGGAGGATTTAGACTTTTATGCCTCTAAGCATTGAAGCCTTGTTTCGTAAGGGAGAGAGAAGAAAGAAACTGCTCTGTCTTATACTGTGTATTTGTAGCATACATGAGCCTTTTCTGAATTTTGTGATTTTTAACTTTAAATAGCCTTTACTTTCAACTGAGGCCCTGTATGTTTTCTTTCTTGTTTTCTTTTTAACTGTAGGCTGCTGCTACTTTTGTGATGTTTCCTGTTCAGATTATAACCACTGTAGATTCTCGGGTTGTTCAGCTTGATTATTTGGATGGAAGACTGCTCATATCTTCACTTACACGCACTTATTTGTGTGATACTGAGAGGCAAGTTATGTTTTTCTTGTAAAATATTGGACTTTACAGAGTCACACAGAGTTTCTGAAGTGACCTCTGGACATCATCTAGTCCAATTTTCCTGCTCAAAGCAGAGTCAGGTAGAGTAGATCGTGTAGGACTGTGTCCAGTTAGGTTTTGAGCATCTCCAAGGATGGAGACCCCACAAGCTCTCTGGGTAACCTTTTCCACTGGTTCACCACCCTCACAATAACAGAGCTTTTTCTTACGTTGAAATGGAATTTCCTTTATTTCCATTTGTGCCCATTGCCTCTTGTCCTTTCACTGGGCACCACTGAGAGTAGTCTGGCTCTGTCGTCTTTATTCCCTCATCAGGTATTTATACAGGTGGGATCAGATGAGTTCCACCCCTGAACTTTCTCTGTTCCAGGCTGACCAGCCCGGCTCTCTCAGCCTCGTCTTATAAGACAGGTGCCGCAGTGCCTTAGTTGTCTTTGTGGCCCATCGCTGGACTTGCTCCAGTATGTCCGTGTCTCTCTTGTACTGGGGAGCCCGGAACTGGACCCAGCACTCCAGATACGTCTCACCAGTGCTGAGAAGAGGGGAAGGATCACCTCCCTTGACCTGCAGGCAACACTTTTCCTAAGGGAGCCCAGGAGGCTTTTGGCCTTCTTTGCCAAAGGGGCGCATTGCTGGCTCATGGTCAGCTGCTTGTTCACCAGGACCCCAAGGCCCTTCTCTACAAAGCTGCTTTCCAGCCAGTTGGCCTGTCCTGGTGCCTGGGGTTGTTCCTCCCCCAGTGCAGGACTTTGCATGTCTGTTTATCTAGCCCACGCTTCCTCAGTTTGTTTGTGAAAATGTTAGGAGGGGCGGTGTCAAAAGCCTTACTGAGGGCAAGATAAACAACATCCACTGCTCTTCTCTCATCTATCAAGCCAGTCATTCTGTTGTAGAGGGCTATAAACGTGATTTCCCCTTCGTAAATCTATGCTGACTATTCATAGTCACCGTCTTACCTTTCATGTGATTGGAAATGGTTTCTGGGATCATTTGCACCATCACCTTCCCATCACCAGGTGGACCGAGTGGTTCTGCTGAAAAAAACCCCCACAAACCTTCATGATCTGAGCATTTGTTTAAGCTAACAAATATTTCTGCACCCTGTCTTTTATAAACTTTATGCAGGCTTTATAATATTCATTACAGATTTTTTTTTTTCAAGCACCGAAACCAATTCAGCAACTAGGATTTAGTGTTTTTATTCTTCAAGAACAACATAAAATTAATTACAGCCTTTATTAATGCTGCCTTAACAAGTATGTTTTTTCCGCTAGAGAGAAGTTCTGGAAAATTGGTAACAAAGAGAGAGATGGAGAATTTGGAGCGTGTTTCTTCCCTGTTGGAAAAAACAGTGGGAATCAGCAGCCGTTAATATATTGTGCTCGACCTGGCTCAAGGATGTGGGAGGTGAACTTTGACGGGGAAGTGCAAAGCACACATCAGTTCAAGCAGCTGCTCTCATCACCACCTCTCCCTGTTGTTACTCTCAGGTAGAAGCATGAATGTTATCGGTGATAAACTTGCTTGGGTCTTCTAGACTAACTGAAAAGAACTGCCTTAACACTGATAAGATTAAATAACCTCCTAGTGCAGTCAAGCATTAATCCTAGCTGTCATCTTAATACATTCTCCTCTAATAATGGAAACCAGTATCTAAGTTACGAAAAATGCCAAAGCCTTGATTCTGCAGATATATCTGTGTGACTACTGCAATGAATGCTGCTGTCATACGACTATGTTTATTTAAGCCAGCCTTGTATTTCCAGGGTTAAGAATATTATATTAAGGAAGCGATATTGCTGTAGTTTTATGCTTGTAATGGATACTAATTTTACTTTACAGGCTGGATCCTCATTATACTAGTTCCAGCTGCTCTCCACAATCTTTATCTTTCCCCAAGCTACTGTATTTGACGTAAGTATTTGTCAGCATAGCTTCCTGTTGATAAAGTAGACTTAAAAATAAAAAAAGTTCTGTATTTTCCTAGTTTATATTATCAACTTTTTATCTTTTTGCCTAAGAATTTTCCAAGTATCATGCTAAACAACTCACTTCTCGCTTGCTGTACTTAAGCCAATGCCATCCCTGCGTATTTTACAGTGACTACCACAATTAACTGTTGCACCGTTAACGTCTGCTTTGCTTGCAGTGAGCACTGTGTAATGACCTGGACAGAAAGAGGCATTTATATTTTCCTTCCCCAAAGTGTTCAAGTCTTACTCTGGAGTGAAGTAAAAGGTAAACCTAAGAATCTTCGCTTTGTAATATTGTTTGTTATGTTTGTCATTTCTGAAGTCCTTGCCTAACATGGAGCCTTTTCAAGCTCAATTTCTGCAGCTGGATTGCAGAACATTGATCAGAAAACTGTTTTTCCTTGTCATCTGTCAGGTATATCCTTGAATATTAACCCTCTCTCTACTCCTCCAGCCAACCCCTCCCTCCATACTTCTGAAAACATGCTTGAGAAACAAGACGTGGTGTAAAGTGAATCTTAAAATACAGTAATCAAATAGTGAGAAGTAATAACCTGCAGCGTTAGTGAGATAAAATCTGCAGTATCCTTTCCTCATTTCTGTTTATTCAGGTTTATTGTCAGGTGTCCTATGAAGGCAGCTAAAAGCCTAAACCTGTTTTTTCTAACATCTGTCTAAATTGCAGCCAGGGAATGTACTTAGTTGGCAGATGAGTGAGGCCTCATAAACGGTTTTGTGTGTATGGTTTTAGGCATAGTCCTAGAACGATTAGTCATTGTCACTCACTCTTTTCCTTTCCCTTCTCTCCCCCACTTTTGGTGTTAATTTTCCAATGCCTTTGTCATGGAGTGTTTGCATATAGCATAACTATTTCATTTGAAAACTGCTGAAAGGCCAAAGTGTTTTTCTACTAGCAAATGTTTTCCTTCTGTTTCAAAGCTAACAATGATGTATTTCTCATCTTTATCAGTCTTTAGTTTTTCATCCTCCTTCAGAGGAAAAGGAAACTTTTCAGTAACTTTAGTGTACTTTTTGAATGCTTTCTGGAAATGTGACTCTGGAAAGTTTTGATACTTTAACTGTGCTTTATAGTTGTTAGATACTAGTTTAGCACTCTTCAGTGTTTGTTTTCCCCATGCCACTTGTGCTACAGTGTATTAGGCTTTTGCACGCATTTGCAGTCAGAAGGGAAATATGTTTTCACCTTCTTTCAGGAGCAGAAAGGAATGTTGGCTAACGATTTCAGTCCTTTAGATATTTCTGTGCATCTGGTTTTGCAGATATTCAGGATATTGCAGTTTACAAAAGCGAGTTGTTCTGTCTGCATACAAATGGAAAAATTGTGCACCTCTCCCTTCTGCTGGTAGACCGCTGCATAGAGCGTCTGATAAGAAGAGGGTTCTGGACACTTGCTACCAGGGTCTGTTGTCTCTTCCAAAATTCAATCATTTCTTGCAGAGTAAGTAAATACCTCTTCGTAAATGTGCAATTTAAGTTCCATAGGTTTCTGAGATTCATATTCTTGGAGTTTTTAAAAAGTCCTCTAAACATTATGCTTTTAGGGTGAAAATTAGCCTGCATATATGGTACCTTTTGCTTTTCACATGTGCATTTGAATATTAGAAATAATAACGGTTCTGTTTCGCTGTGTACTTCTAGGCAAGAAAAAATTTGCCTCTAGACAAGCTGGAGCATTTGAAGTCTCAGCTAGATGCCGCAACCCAACAAGATCTCATTACACAGCTGGAAGAACTAATTTCAAAGTTGGAACCTCTAGATTCTGCGTGCAGCAGTAGAAGGAGCAGTATTTCATCTCATGTAAGTGTATTGGTAGTGCCAAAAATGTTACCTGCAGATTTTATCTGTATGGCTTAAAATCATCTTGTTGCTCACTTTGAAGATGAGGCTTTCATTTTTACCATGTCTACTATAGTTGATAATGCTACTTCCTAAAATAGGTGGGGTAGAGAGGTATGAAATACTACTACTTGCATTCTTTAAGTTCTTAGACCTCTGCCTTTTTTCCATATTATTTTGTGGCTAGTGGTTGAGATGTGGACAAAGATTGATATGAAGAAGACTTTCTCCACAGCTGAGTTCAGTGTCTTAATATGCTTCAGTAAAGGTCATCTTGATTGTAACTGTAGTTTTATGTGGTGAAAACTGAATGTCTGAATGCTCAGAACTATCCTAGCCCTATTTAAAAAATTGTCTCACTCTATTAAGCTTAAGCAGAAAGCTCTAAGGAAAAAAAATCAAAGCATATTTCTAATATTCTTTTACACATACAGCTGCTTGGTATTGTCTTGGCTTCCTAGCAGCTTTTCAAGAAAGGGAAAATATTTCATAGTTAATACAGTATCAGTTGCTGCTTTCCCTCTAACAATGTTTAAAAAGTAAAGTTTAACAAGCAAAGTAATGGAAATTCCATCTTGATGTGGTAGACAAGTTTTTTTCATTAGCAGATGGGGAAGTAAGCTACATAGACCGACCATGAGCAAAATAATGTACGTGTGTCCTGGAACTAAATAGTTTTGCAGGGTCCATAATTGCGCTAGCTGGGTATGGTTAACCAGCAAAAAGAATACAGACTCTTGGGTACACAGGTACAAAGGGCTGAAGTGACAGTCTCGGATGCAGGACTAAAGCAGAGATGGTTTTTTGTCTTGTACTAAGTACACCAGTTGTTCTGCAAGCTGCTTTCCTGGAAGCAATTGCAGCATATATATCTTTATAAAGTCACGGGACTGCACACTTATTGGCATGTGTGTACTTTTCCATTCTGGATATGTCAAAAATATGCTGTTGTACAGGGCTTTTCCAGACAGTGAATTATGAAGTGCTGTGAGGTTATTTGTGTGGGTTGTTTGAGTTCATTGCAGGAAGTTTAACAAGGAAGTACAACTCGCTCAACATCTAACTCCTCTCTTTTGTCTGACAGGAAAGCTTTAGTGTCTTGGACTCCGGAATATATCGTGTTATCAGTCGAAGAGGCAGTCAGTCAGATGAAGATTCATGTTCTCTACACAGTCAAACGTTCTCGGAGGATGAGAGACTTAAAGAATTTCCTGCACACCAGGAAGATGAGCAAGTAGAACTTGGTAATATTTCTTAATGAAAATACGTTATTTGGATGCAATTTTTATTTATTCTACAAGAATTCAATTGGGTTGGCTCTGTGCTCTTATTTTCTATTATCAAGTTATCCATGATTAAATCCTTCAATTTGATCAATGGGAACACAGTCACCCCACCTTCCAGTCAAACTCTTTCTTAAAACATAGGGGTGAAATGCTGGCTCCATAGAAATCCAAGCTTAAAACCAAACACAACCCAGAGAAACAAAACAAAAGGTCCAGAGGGCTTTTACCAAGCTAGGACTTCACTCAGATTTCTGTCCCCCCCCCCTCCTCTCTGTGCAATTCAACATTAATGCTAAGATTCTCTCAGCTGACTACGCCAGTGTTAACTGAGCTTCAAATGAGATTTGTTTTGCTGATGCTATTCTTCCAGTAACATTAGTTCCAGGAAAGAATTTCTTAGTCTTGGCTCTGGCTTTATGTTTCTTCAAGGAAAACAGTAGGCCTTCGATAAGTGTTCTTAACTTTCTTGCAGGGTTTCATTTTTAAAGGGGATCATCTCTTACATGTGTACATTAGCATGGGGATGGTAGAATTGTAATCAGCTAACATTTAGACCATCCAGGGAGCTTTTTTTATTTCCTAACAAGTATCTGTCTCTAAGGCGAAAGCTTGAGTGAGACAATAACGGGTCTTGTTCTCTGCTCTGGTTGGGATTGGGAGGGGATGCAGAAACCTGGGATGATGAGGAGCTGGCTTAGTTCCAGGTATAGTAGAGAGGCTTTCCAATAAAAAAAGCTGCTCTTTAGCTTTTGCAGAGAGTAGATGCCAGTTGAGGATGGAGAGAATTTGGGTGCTTTGTTGGGGGAGAACTACAATAGGGAGGGGGAGTATAGGAATTAGTATTTAGTCCCCTACTTGTCAGTAGTGTTATCCTGCTGACAAAGCTACATGCTGTTTGTAGCACTTACATTTACATTTGCCTCTTTACCTACATCACTATAAAAACCACCAGGTGAGAAAACTTGGAAGTAAGTGTATCGTTTCCCATATTAAAACTCTAAAATGAAGGGATGTAGTTTTTGAATGTCAGAAGATAGAAAAGTTCTCTCTGTTCAACAAGAGATAACACATTTTCTGATTGTTTCAAAGTAGAGAAGTTCTAGATGCTTCTTGAAGCATGTGTACTTAATTTGGTATTTAAGAGAAATGGACTTAGTGTTTCCCTGCTCACATTTACGTAAGATGTCATAAGTATTTAGGTTTCTAATCCGCATAATGGACAAAAGCAGCCTTATTTACAGGCAATCTTAAAATCAGTTGTGACCTTTAGGCACTATCTAGAGAGATTGTGGATTCTGATGGTAGAATTTCTGTAACAGCATGGCATCTTTTCCTCTCAACAGTGCAGATAGTGCTGACTGTTGCAAAATGCAGTGTCATCCTTACTTAAAAGGATCCGTTTTTAATTATTTACATCACTTAAAGATACAGTGTGTGTTTGTACCAGGAAATAATTAATCAAAACACATTGTAGATTCTCTTAGGGATATAAGAGTTAAAAGGAAATAGTGATTCTATATTTCCTGTGATTCTTATCAAAAGCCAGAGAGCTATGGGTTCAATTATATTTTGAAGTCCATTCAAATAAAAGAGTGATTTATACCTTAACCATGGCTTATGCATCTCTGTATGTTAATATGTGATTTAGGTTTTAGGAAATTGTGCTATCTGAACTGATGTATGCCACAATACTTAATTTTCCTAGATGTTTAAGTAACTGTAAGTGGATTAAATCAAGTTTTTGTCCCCTAAATGGACTAAAAGTCTACTTTTGGAAGATAGTTTTCATACAGTTGTTGATCATCATTTGCCTTGTTATAGAGCCAAAAGACTATTAGCAAAGCAGGCCTACCAGGTTCAAAGTCAATAATAAAATGGCCTTTGAAATCAAATAGCATTTTTCTGGCTCCCCACATTCTTGAATATGAAGTATGAAAATATCCCATGCGGGTTATCCATTAATGAATTAGTGACTTGCAGTTTGTTTCACCGTTCCATTTTTGCCAGGCCACTGTTTCATGACTCTTTATTTCAATTCCATTTGTTAGACAATGTATCTCATGCATCTGTGACGGTTGAGGCTGACCGGAGTGAGACATTTCTCCCATTCAGTATTCCTTTGTCATTTCGTTCCCCATCTCCTCTCGTCTCTCTCCAAGCTGTCAAAGAAAGGTAAAACTTGCAGCAGGTTCACTCATCCATTGCATCTTTCCCTTTTCTATCCTCTGAATTTGTAGCATCGTCTGGTTTAGTACATACTCTGTTCGGCAAAAATGTAACATCTGAACTGAAACACTGGAGATGGCAGTCGAGTTTGCTAGACAATTTAAAGCTTCCATCTTGACTCTAATGAAGATATGAAGAGCTGCTGTTAACTTCAGTGGAGCCAAGATTTCAACCTCAGTTTTTAAATGGCTAAGAATGTTTAAATGGCTAAGAATGTTTAACATTTCCCTGTAAACTGTGGTTGTGATTTGTATTCAAAGCAAACTTACTGAATATTGTTTTGGGATTTTGCTTTTCTGGTACTTAGATTTCTGAAGAATGAGTGAAGGCTTCCTATGTTGCTTGGGGACAAATATTAAAATATTCAAAGCATGCTCGATATTGTTAAAACACACTTGCAAGGTATACCACGTGGTCTGCTGTCTCCCCACACACACCTTTCAGTGAATCTAATCAATTCCCCAAGTGTTTACAGAATAATGGTAGTTTATACCTGGTGCAAGTAAATATGGTAGTGTTCATTTTATGCAGAAATTGCTGTTTTAAAACTCGCTTTAAAAAACAGGAGGGGACAAATATAAAGGAGATGCCGTTAAATATATAAATACATAACTTAAAAATTTGAAAAAAATTATGTATGTTAGTTTCTTAGCTAAAATGTTGCTGGCCCATAATGATGGTCTGAAAAATTGCATAGCCCTCCCTTGATCACTTAGGTATGTGAATTATGTCCTGCAACAAAAAATTGTAGCTGATATCGATAATGTGAGGATCTCGGAATAACCTTCAGAAGTACATGCAATGTTTTGTGTTCTTTCTAAACTGTAAGCAGTTTTTAGGACTTTACTAGTAATTAGTGTTTCTACTAATAATGACAACTAAATTTTCAAGTATTCACTATATTAAATTTATAATTACATAAAATACTATAATATTTACAGTTAATTTTTAAAAGTTTACCTTTAATCCTTCTATACATTAAAGTCCAATTGTTTTGCTACATTTGAATCCTTCCTCTCTTCTGCAGCAACCTTCAACTTTTGCTATACCTTGGTATAGTAAAAGATGCCATATTCTCTGGCAAACAGGTAAAAGGGTTGCTTTTTTCTTTTTTCTTGATGCTCTTAAAGTAGTTCTTGGCCAGAAAGCAAGAAGCTGATTTTTCTGTTCAACTCTTGATGACATAGTTATCTTCATGGCAGTGGTAGAAATAATTGGGTTTTGGTATGTTCACTGGGCTTTCTCTTGAATAAAATATCTGAAGGGGTAGAGACTGATGATGTGAAAAGGACATTTTTCCTGAGCTTTGTAATCTGAAGAATTAATTAGGAGTATTGTAAAGCTGTTTCTAACCACCAAGAGGGACATAATTTCCTAATGATGCTTTCTGTTTATAAGCTTTAACATGCAATGTAGCCAATCTGCATTTATTTGCATACAAATATATGTTAAAATCTAAGTGCTAATGTTTGTATGTGATCCTGTTTCTCCAGCAGCAAAAAACCCAAGTCTTAAATACTTCAGGTTTTTACTCTGTGCTGGAAGTACAGACCATGACTGAAGTGTGAATTTTGAGCAGCTTCTTAGTGAGTATTGTTCTTGTTGGTCATCGCTGCTCTCATCCTTTTCTCAAGAGTTCTTCAGATTATAAAGTTTTCTGAAATCATGGTTTGAATGGAAGGAAAGTGCTTGATTTGTTCGGTTTTGAAATTCCAATTTTAAATGTTTGAACTTCTGACTTTTAGTGTTTCCAGCTTTGTACGCAAAACTACTGAAAAGATTGGCACACTTCATATAAGTCCTGATAATAGAGGGAGGCAAGAAGCAAAGGATGACGAGCAGCTGCAGGAGTTGACTGTTAATCTGGTAACATCTCCCCAGGAAGAGAAAGAGTGAGTGCAAAATCACGTTTTCTTAGCATTTGCTGGGGATTCTTAAGGATAGCAACCTAAAGGAAAAACTACCGTTTCAAGTAGAACTGCGAGCTCAGTGTTAGGTTTTTCCACCTGCCTTCATTACTATGGTGGGTTTCACTGGTTGTCCCTGACTCCTTTCCTAGAAGCTGATTAGGCAATGAACACTTCTGGGTGGTGGCACATGCAGTCTCTACAGTGCTGTAATAAACTGAAGAGCAAGAACGTAGTGTATTACACTACATGAGAATTGCTGATCTGTGATGCTCGTTATAGTTATGGACATAAGTCCAACAGTTCATTTCCTGTCCTTCCTGAGTGGAGAGTAAGCACTTTTATCTCCCTAAAAATATACTTTTTTTTTTTTTTAAATAATGGTAGCTATAAAACACTGAACTTCTTTAATGGTTGTCCAATTAATACAGAGCTAAGTTATTTCATATTCCAATGATTTTCTAACTTACCATTTTGGACTAACTTTCATATAGTGGCATGATACTGATTTTTATTCAGTACCTTCAGAAATCTACTGTAGTTGGAGTAGAAGCCATTCTAGAAGGCCATAAAAATAGTATTATCGGTTGCTTTTCTTGCCCAATTCATCCCTTATGTCTGTGGAGCTGTTCCTTCTTTAGAAATGAAAGCTTTATTTTTTTTTTTTAATAAAGGAATTAATGTTGTTTCTTCACTTAAATTATTAAAGATAATACTTCAGATAAGATTGAAGTTAATGTGTTTTTCTAGGTTAGAACCACAGAGCTGCCAGCTTCCAGAGGAGGACCATCTAAGAGATCTCAAGGCTGCAACAGCAGAAGCTATGTAAGCAGGGAAACTTTTTAGTGCATAGATATATTGGGCTTTGGTAGAAAAATTATTGATTTTTTTTTAATTTTTTTTTTTTTTAATTCATTACATACATGTAAGAGTAATGCTGTAAACATCTATTAACATAATCTGAAAGAATCTCCTTTGGTTAATGATTTGTTTCCCCTATTTAAAACCAAGCAAAACCCACTAAAAGCTTGTTTAGGTACTCTAAATTGTTTAGGTATTAAACTCTAAATTATCCTTTTGTCCTAACTACAAGTATAGTTTAAAAAAACAAAACGAAAATCACCTAACAAACAAAAACCCATTCTGAAAGAAATCTTGAGGAACTCGGAATGTACTAATATCAAATGTAGACAGTCTAAGTAGCCTAAGTTCTGTCTGATGCACTCAAATCGACAAAAAACAACAGCCGACTGTAAGTCAAGCTTAGGAATATACTTTGAGTTACACAAAACATAAATAATACTTCACTTGTGGCATCTTATAGCCGTCAAGCAACTTAGCAAACTTCTTTTTTTATGTTACAGAGCAAAACTCCAGGATCCCCTGGTTTTGTTAGAACCACAGAGTATGAGAAGGGTTTTACGGGAATGGCTTATCTATCTAGAAGAAAAGTTCGGCAGCAAAGAGCATTCTGCTTCCTCTATTAAGAAAAGCAAGACTGTGTGTGCTGGAGAAGAGAGGGCAGTCCTGCAGGAAAACGTACGACTGGATCCAACTGACAGAGACCCAGCAGACAAAGAACAGAGCAGTATCTTGGAAGACTGCACTGAACAGGAAAATACTGATGAAACTTGCCTAAGCAAAACCATCTGTGAAAATAGTACTGATTTGAAGGGACCTTTGGACTGCTGCTTTCAAGTGTCTCCTCCATGTGTCATAGAACCGGATGTTCAGAAAGATCTTGTTGAGTTGACAACACTGTGTTTTGAGCTGCGTGTATTTTCTTGTGGAAATGGCAAGGCAGAGGAAAGCTCTGACGGAAGTCTGCCACGAGCAGCTTTGTGGACCTTGGCTTGTAGGTTTATGCGAAGCTACTTCTTTCTTTTGGATTTAAAAAGACTAAAGCAGTGTATTATAACCATGTATGCAACCAGTCCTAATGTATGGGAAACATACATCGCAGGATTGAAAGGTAGCTAATGAAAAATTTATTACTAGTAAATTGAAAGTAAGGCTGTTTGGGAGAAAAAAGAAAAAAGCTTGAAGATACTCCCATTTGTGTCTGCAAATTTTCCTTCTGCAGGTGCAGTGTGGGAGGGGGAGGATGGCTGGTGTGTGGGAGTTTTTGTTCTGGTTTTGGGTGGGTTGGTTGGTTGTTTTTCCCCCGAAGGCTAACTTATGAAGAGCTGCTGGCAACTTGGAGAGGCTGTTCTTCCCCTCCCCCCACTTCGCAATTCTGAACCTTTTAATTTATATGGAGCTTGTTGGTTGAACACTGTAGTGATTACAGACTAGATCTATTTAAAAACAAATATACGTGCTTCAAAGAGCAAAAGCATCTTAATTAGAATCATATGTCTGTAGAAACAAGGCAAAAGCTAGGAGAGGGGCTTCAATATTTGTACTGGAAACGGAAGATTCGACTTGTAGAGAATGTGGTTAATGTGAAAGAAAACTGAATGAAATAGATGGTTACATGCAAATGAGTGGCTTGTGATCACATCAGACTTCCTTTTCCCACAGAAATCCTTTCTGATCTTTTTGATGCATCTTTAGCCTTATTAAACCAAAGCTTCCTGATTATATTGGAAAACCCAACTTCATCTGTTCTCTGCATTTAGCTTGTGCTTTATGCATTTGTTCTAAGGGTGAATTGAAGTCTCAGCATTGATTTGGCACCAACAGAGAGTAGTCACACAACAGAATCTTGCTTTGAGGGTTGGTATTTGGGTTTCTGGGAATCTGTTCACTATTTCGATTCTGAGAGCCCTAGAAGCAAAAGTAATGCATTCCCAGTTTGTCCTCAGTTGGACTGCTCTTGTGCCTGTAGATTAGTACTCGCATTTCATCAGGATCAAGGTTTGTGTTGAATTCTGCATTCTGTGAAGTCAGTGTCCAAGCTGAAGGTTTTTATTTATTAATAGAAGCAAATTGTAATATATGAAAACTGATGCAGATCTGCATTTTATTCAGCAAGCCATATGTCCTGCAGTGGGCTATGTTTTTCCACAAGAGAAAAATTGCCTCCTCAGAAGTCTAAAGAAAAGTAAAATATATCAAGAATGTTATTCCATGCCTTAATTGTATCATTTTATAACTGTAATTTGCTGTAAGCACAGATTAGTGATGTTGATTTCTATGAAATGAACAGGTAGGATCTGTTCACTTGTTACTACTGTTAGCTAGAGAGTTCCATGAAGTAGTGATAACTTTTGTCCTTACACTTAACAACAGCCATGTGTGTGTTAAGAAAAAAAAACTTGCCCATATCTTGTAACTTGTGCGCTGATTTATTTCAGAACTAACTTGTCACAGTCCAGTGGCTTTAGCAATGGAAAATGAAGATATGTTGAAAATACTGAAACAGCTGCATGACCTGGGGCCTTGGGATGATAGCCCGCTGTTACTGGTACATGCTCAAAGGTTTGTAGCTGAGTCCTTTTTTTCTCCTCTTCAGTGTTGTTAACTTGCGAGCAGGAATTGGTTCACTTCACATTTCATGAAGCTTTCTGGGAATCTTTTAAAGAGATCACCTTTCAGAACTGTCTTGAACTTGCAAGAGACCTTGGAAAAATGATAATTTTGCTGTTTGGTACTGAAAACAGTTTTTATCCTCTCTCTCTAGGCTTTATGAAAAATTTGGGGAAACAGCTCTTCGGCCCTTGATCAAGTTCCACCCCTCTATTTTGCCTTCTGATATCAAACAACTTTGTAGGAATGATCCAGCTCACTTTTTAGCATATTTAGATAGTCTGGTGAAATCAAAGCCAGAGGATAAAAGGTAAAGGGAATATAGAATCTTTTTCATCTGTCTGCTCTCTTCATCATGTAGCTATGTGTGGGTTTTTTGGTTTTGGTTTTTGGGGGCTTTTTTTACTGTTTCTGTATCTATCTGCTTGGTGTTCTTTAGCATTAGATTCCAATTCATTCTGCCAGCTTTAGTTGGTCTCTCAGACTGTGGTTTTTTGTTCGATTAGATGCTAGTTTTAACAGGGTTTTTCTAAATAATATTTTCAGTGGAACTGACTATTTTTGTTCCTGTGCCTGCAGTTTAGTATACCAAGGTTAGACAGCATTTAAAAAAAAAAAAAAAAAAAAAGCTGGGGGAACCCAACTTTCTGTGGTCCTCAGTTTCTAGAAACATAAATCATTCTAGGCTTTTCTATATGTAATTTTACATCCATATTTTGGTTTATTTTTCTGCATACAATCTCTACTTCTCCATATCTAGTATATTTAAAACTGGCAAGGTTTTTTTCTGTGTGTTTTGTTTTCCAGGTCATCTCTCCTTAGATCTCTTCTGCAGCCCGAATCTGTACGACTGGATTGGTTGCGCTTGGCAGTTTCTCATGATGCACCACAAAGAGCAAATACAATGGA